GGGCCAGCAGCTAAGCCACTAAGCAATATCCCTAGCCCATTTAATTTTTTTTTTTAATTTTGAGACAGGGTCTTGCTAAGTTGCTGAAGCTGACCTGGAACTTGTGATCCTCCTATCTCAGCCTCCAGAACTGCTGGGATTATACGCATGTGTGCCCAAATCCAGCCTTAATTGCTAATTCTGCTAAATAACTTCATAAAATTTGGAGTGATTTTTGCTCTTTTGCATAAATAAAGAGATGTCATATGTAGGTTCAAAATTTATATTGAGTTATATGCATTCATGAATATGTCAAAATTAACAATGTAAACTATAATGTACTAAAACAAATAAAAAGAGAGAAAATAAATTTATGTTAAATAATATGAAAATTCACAATACTTTTATATCTGGTAAAATATTTTATTTTCACAGAAAAATTCATTTAAGCACTTTTTCCCCCTTCTTACCTATTTCATCTTTCCTCATATCTTTCAGCTTATCTACAGTAAGATTTTTTTCTTCTAATCTTGTTAGAATGTGTGGTGGTAACACTGAGAGGCTGAGAAAGGAGGATTTCATGTTGAAAGCCATTCTCAGCAATTTAGCTAGGCCCTGAGCAATTTAGTAAGACCCTATTTCAAAAAAAAAAAAATAGAAAGGGTTAGAGATGTGGTTCAGTGATTTAGGGCCTGTAGTTTCAATCCCTAGTACTAAAATAAATAATTAAAAGAAAAAAAGTAAAAAAGGACTGAGGATATATTTCAGTCATAGAGAGCCTTTCAGTTCAATCTGTAGTATTACGAAAAACAAAACAAAACAAAACAAAGAAAAGAAATGAAAGACAAAGAAGACAAAAAATAACTTACTTTATTTCACATGATGGTTTAAATATATGAAGATTTTTTTTTTTACCATAGCAGTTTTTAAAAGTTATAAATTAAATGAGCTGTAGGTTTAGGGAACAATTTTCTTTCAGTACTCAATATTTAAAATCAGAGACCTATTATACTGGAATACATATATTAGGCCTTATATAAGATAGATTTGTTACTAAGCCAAACAAACCACTAACTTTCACCCCCAGTCCTGATTTACAAGCACAGGTTACATAAAAGATGTACAAATCAATATCTTTAATTCTAAGGAGAAACTGTAGTTCATAGAATTTCTCAAAGTAATGTATTCACAGAACAATTGAATTAATTCCTTGGTCTCTAGAGATAAACAAGGAAGAGAAAATGGGGAGTAAGATTCTTACCTGTGCAACATTTGCAGAATCTGACATAAGGGAGAAACTATCCGTCTCTCCTCGGCTGATGGAAGTTTGAAGTAAGATGTTTATTTTCCCATAACTATTTTCTACACCTCCAGGAGCTGAGAGTTCACAAAAAA